AGCAGGACTGTTTTTCTGGCAAAATGTGACACTGTGCAATCGCTAGTTTCTCACTAAAGTCAGGACACAAAAGGATAAATCAAAGTTCAAAATAAATACCATAAGCACAGTTTCTTACCTTTGAGATAGAATTTAATCTATGTAAGCCTTGTGCAAAGAAAGATACAGTCCGGAATAAAATATCCTTCGTCTGCGAAGGCTAAAAAGCCGGAGCAGATTGTCAGAATAATCTGGCTAAATATTACTTAAGAATTAAATTCTAATGAATATTCTTTATGACAAGGTACCCCGCAAGACAAGCATACAGCGCCACAGTGTACAATGGAATGAAAACATTTAAATGATAATAAAATATTATATGCATAAATTCGAGTCATTTTACTCATTTGTATAAATTCGAGTCGTTTTACTCATTTCATAGGCGTTTTGACTCAATTTTCAGTCTGCCCCACGAGTATGTAGTTGTCGTTCTCATTTTCACACAGTCCTTAATGTTTTTTCCATACAGTAGAATAAAGACAAGACAAACTTGGCAGAAGTGGGTTGGGCTAGTTCACAATCGGAGCTATTAATTTACAATTTAATTCTCTGCTGTGTACCACCAGCATATCATTAGCGTAACATATCATCAAACAACTGACATTATGGAGTTGCTATCAATAATTGCTAAACAGCTGTGTTGATGGAGCCTTATACACATTCTCATACATCAAAACGAGAGAGTACTGATTGGAACATTTTATCTGTTAGATCACTGTTAATAATGAGTAAAGAGTTTCAATTCAGACATAACACAACCGGAAAATTCACAACCTTGGAAAGCGAGAACATTTTGAGTATACCAACACAACTAGTTTTTAGAACCGCCACTGTCGCATCAGTTGTAATCATTTTAAAAGACAAAGCTTCGGGTGGCGTGTTGATAATCAATGACCTTATGTATGTATGACTGGCATCCACTTCTAGAGTTCATTTGAATTGTTCCATCAAGTTTAATGCAACTCGTTTGAATGAAATATCAATTATTGGAAGCTGTCCACTGACAGATGTCACATAACCGACATTGCCGATTAATGTCATCATGTTTCGCCATCATTTTATCCAGTAAAGCCTGTATTCATAAATAAACTTCATAACATCAGCGCGAAAAGACGAAAGTATTACCAAATGATCGATGACATGATAATAATTAATAACAATTAGGCTCATTGTTTCATGGAATAAATGTACCAGAACCACATGTCAATTAAAGTATAGAATAGCCAACTCATCAATATCATTATAATTCTCGAGGTCTGATTTGGTTTTCGTTCTATCAATCCATGTGCAACAATGGTCCTGTTCAAAGCCAAAATGTATATTTTCCAAAGCGTTCTGATAACGCGGACCAACAGCCACACTAGCCATGGTACACTCTGACTCAAGCTACGACTTAGTGTTATGGTAGACAGAAAGCAGACAAAATGTTTGTATATTTCCATATCTGAACTTCGTGACAGAAATGTTAATAATTACAAATGTGCTACACACGTTACATTTGTTATGGGGAAATGAATCACTTCCACACTTGAGAAAGAAATTCTTGACCAAGGATTTGGTTTTCTTGCATTCTCTAAGGAGTTTTTATTTGCTACTGATATACACTTATGACGGAGATCATTTTCTCATGAAGGGATAAAGAAATTAATATTTGTATATGACGAAAAACCATATGTTCTGAAATACACTGTTTAGCCTAGTGTCTCCCAAACAAGGTGTGTGAAATATTAGGGCATACATTTTTATTTTTATTTACATGACACTGTTGGTTATTCATTGCCATTGAATTTATAAACTTGCTCGCGATGAAATTATATGTTAGGCATTGGTAAATATTTACTCTTCACTTGAAAAATGTTAATGTAGTGAATATCATACAATATAACGAGATGTTAATTACTTAATTGTTAATATATACAGTGCATTCGTGAAGTACTTGTGTCCTATGTTAATCCATCTCTCTCGTGAATCTGCTTTTTCACCAATCTTCTCAATATTTAGTTGATCACCTGCGAAAGACAGTGGTTGAAAATCCTATACAATTTCATTGAAAAACTTACACTTTTATTGTTGGTCACAAGATACCTTTCTCATTTCTGTAATAAAATTTGTCATTGTGTTCTAACTCACCAAATATTTGTTCAAGCATTGTGGGTGAAATACAGTATGGTGGTCCTGACAATAAAATCATAATACATACACAATTAATGTTGAACATATTGTAAACTACACTGAACATGCGCGTGATAAGAGGCAGTAATACAATGTATGCAATAATAGCAAAGAAGCCAAGTAGTAGTAGTAATAAAGTAGATTTTTAAAAACTTACCTGACATTATTGTATGATCAAAGTTCTCTAAAATAAGACCGTATCGTGTATGTGTATGCATAGTTGATATCATTAAGTCTCGATATCTGCAAACGGAACGAACATGATAATAATGAGAATGATCATATCATATGTGTATGTTTTTGTCTCAGTAATATCATGAAATGATATTTTACTTGAAGATTTGAACAATACAATTAAAATGAAACTTAATTAATTAACTATTTTTTTTTTATTACGCAATGCATACAGTTTGATTTTCGTTAAATATATGGGTTTATGCAAAGATATCCGATCCAAACATTCATTATGAGCTCATTAAATGTAACTGTCATTTCATGCATAATATATGAATAATATGAATAATGTAAATTAATCCTACTTTTGTCTTTCTACTGGCATAATAGCACTAAATGCTGCTCTGTCCAATATGGCATCAACTTGACCAATTATATCACTGGGAAAAGATTAAGTAGCAAATAATAATAATATGATTTGCTCTAATAATTTGTCTTAAACAGGTTTAAGAAGTAGTTTTTAGTTACAGCAGATAATGATTTTTGTCAATGTCCCATCAAGTAATAAATATTATTGTATTGATGCTTGACATTGTTATTGTCTGTTACAATTGCTGATCTCAATTGCCAAAACATCACAATGTGAGTCATTGGGAGAAGTGTGGGTGAAGGATTTATAATGATGTATTTATGTTTTGTGACTTGGCTTGTTCATATTTCTTACTTGTGTGTGCAATCTGCGAAACCTTCCTTGTGTAAATTTCTAGTGCCAGTTTATTCTAATAGTATTTGATGAATAATATTAACGGCTACTATTTGGACTCATTGCCTCCTTCTAAACAAATACAGTCTGAGTAAAACATACTTATATTGAATAACTAAGTGTGAACCTATGTAGTTATATGAAGTAATTTTAATCACGTTTTTCCGTCACTAAAATGGTCCCTTACCTTGACAAATCAAACAAATTACATTTATAGATCATGATGTTGCCTTCTTTGTTCTAAATGAAAAAATGTAAACAGTTCATAATTGATCTATAATGTAACATGATCAACTAGAACAAGCTGGTACATGTACAAATAAAAAGGAGATGTTTAAGAAAATAAATAGGGCTGCATTTAGCCTAATTATTTATGTTATTGTTGCTTTACTCAAAATGTGAAAGACATACATATGCCTCAAAAGTGGACAAACATGCAATTAGACAATAAAATAATTACAAGACAATTGCTAAACCTAAGTTTGCCCGATATTTTTTGACACACGCATGATGTAACATAATTATTTTAACTATATATGTCCCCTTTGCGGAATTCCTTGATTGAACTGTGGTTGTACATCTACCTTTTATTTATGGTCACAGAACTATTTGTGTAATTGAGAATATTTTTATTAACCTACTCAATAAATATGTTTACCTGAAAAAGCTCTCCATTTACCAATTTATCCACCGATGTTGCTGTGTATTCTAAACTGTTTTCCCCAAAGAACTGTAGAATGGCAAGTTTTGAGAATTCCACACCAATAACAATATGTCCTTGGTTAGCTAACCTGAAACATTAACAATCAATAACAATAGACTAGACAATCAAACAATGTACCACTGACAATTGAACGTGTCTCGCATGATTACCTATAATATTGTACGAGACCAATTGTTGCATATAATACTGAATCAAACTAGCTCACGTGCCTTGAATTGAAAAAAGGAATATATACGTGTAGGGTCAATATGACAAAATTATGCGAATAAATGGTAACATAAGAACAAAAACGCAGAAATAATTTTGATTTACAAATATCCATCAAAGTGCAAAGAAAGGCACGACGAATAGTACGCACACAGGCATCAATATTAACATTAAATTGAAGATCTAGTACACTAACATGTTTTTATTTTTAACGCAGTTCACATTTGCTTTTATAGGAATTGTTTTCATACCATATCATATCGACGGATTTTCCGCAAAGTGGCACAAATATCCTGAGTTTCTTTCTTCCATTTATCAACGAGTGTAAATGCTCTGATAATAATCTGTAATGTAAACGTCAATAATATTTCATAATCATTTTCATTTACAGTGATATATTTGTATTTAAACTCCGACAGTATGCATGTATTGGGATCCATTATAGGAACATACTTCACAAAATAATTTATTGTCAAAGTTCAGATTTCACAACAGTTACCGTTATGTCAGATTATTCAGTCATAAAGTCAGTTAAAAGATTACTGAAAGATCTTACTCGTTTACATGTGGTAAATGAAAGCCTTTAATTCTTCCTTGCTCCCATCGTTCATTCCAATGAACAGGTGTCAGGTAATCTGATTTTTGAACTTTAAGTTGATTTTCGTTATTTTTTGCTTGTTCGTCAGCCATTCTGTGAATATAAATCAGATGGGAGTTGTTATAGGGCGTGTGTGATTTATGTAGTCGTACATTTCTTAATTGTGTAAGTATTTCTTTCAGTTTGTGTTTTGTGAATGTATAATCAATAAAGGATAATATGCCATACATTGGGTAATTATATAAAAGCATGTCTTTGAAAATCAGACATTGAAGGCATATAAGATTTCATGAGTCATTACTATATATTTTTACATATAGATTGGTAGGTGGTTTTACTACGCAATTTTGGGTCATTCTGTTTTTAACACAATATATATATTTAACAATAATTTAAAAAAAATAATAAGCCATGCCAATGGTTGCTAATACACTGTACAATCCATATATGATGTATTTCAATTTATCTAAATAAATAAATAAAGTCAGTTCGTTGACAGACGAAATAAGCTTACCGGCGTTAAACAAAAGAAGATATACCGTAGCAGTAATACAGCTACTGATTCATTGTTACCAACAAAGTCAAACTCAAAAACATATTTTTTGAAAAATGTGTGTATACCGCCGACGCCAGGGTGCGAGCGAGAGAATAGGCTCGATCAAGAAAAGTTTTCAGTATGTACATAACAAATGTACTTTATTTATGTATTTCATAAGATAATTTTAAAACAAATTACACGTCATTTTACACTACTTATTTTGTTTTGTCTTCTACAAATCCCATAAACAATTTCGCCTACGGGAAGTCTGATATTCGACGTGTCCGAAAATGAAATGCAGCGTCATACTCCGTATATCGTTCTTTGTTGGTGGTGGCGCTTTAAACTTGTTTTTCGACTTTCATCTACGCCGCTAATGATATTTTATGGCTTTCTCTATCTGTTTAATATGTGAAAAACCGGTGAAGAAATTGAATAGAAGGAATATGCCGCAATATACATGTTATAGATAATTAATTATTATTATTCTTTCACTAATATATAGTTACCGTGGACACCAGTATGTGTAACTGGCACACTCACATTTGTATTGTTCCACAAATCTTCCAATGCAGCATGTTATCGCTGATATAAACATATGTCTAATGGCCTTGGGCGACCTACACACACATATACATTAAAATAGATGTTTTACCCTTCCAGATAATTAGATGCAAATTAACACGTACGTCATGCGTACAACAGCTACGTTAATATTGACATTTACCTTGACTGATGTTATTCACGCTGAAAACCACAGTCACCAATACAGTTCGCAAATTTCTATAAATTTACAAAGAGCATTTTGTGGGTCATTGAACATATGCCGGTGCATATAATCCTACACTCTAAAACACGTACTCGGGGATCCGTTATTGTTAAACAGATTAATGCCTACCTGATTAAGTATTCCAGAGTTTGGCGTGTCACGGAAATGGTGCACAAACCAGCATAGTGTCAAGGGTCACATCGAGTCGAAAAGGTCAAACATAGTCTAAAACAAATACAGTGGTGGCGCTTTGAAAATTCGTACCTTGCCCCACTGGTCGATTATGCACAGACAAACACACCCAGACTAGACCAGATAAGTATACAGCAGATTCAATATATTTGTATTGTCAAACAAACATTACGTTATCCAGATTGTAGAATCATTCTTTCAAAGTTATATTCATGGCAACATTTAGTTGCTTTAATAAATGCAGCATGTGCTGTGTTCCCAAAATACCCGACTTGCAAATAGCCGATTCTGTTGTTACTTTTCAACATTCTATAGTTCTCCTTTCAACGGTCGAATATACACTATTTAACAAATTAAATATTCACTGAATTAGAATTAGTCCGAGATGCAAATCTGACTTTTAGATTTTATAAGAAGATTAGATTACCAATGTTACCAGTGAATATGTATGACCTAGGTTAGATTAATTTTGCACGATCCAAAAGCAGATGAAAACATAACAAGAGTTGTTGAAGTAAATTCAAATAATAACTTATCCATACAAGACGCAATGTGTCAGGTTCAAATCTGGATAACAATAGATTGCTGTAGTTTGCAGATTTAATGTTTTACCAAATATTGTCAACAATATAATTTTATTGATTTTCCAACTTGTGTTAGGTATAGGCGTAGAGAATTATGTACATGGCATGGATATATCTTTATTTATAAACTTGAAATGTATATAGCGTGGTGTGGTGCTCATGATTTGTTTCTGGTCACATAATTTAGTTCAGTTTAAATGGTTCAAATCACTTTTTTTTTAAATCAGGACTTATTTGGTAATTTATTGACTTTGAATATAGATACGTACGTGAACACCTTGATCCTTATCTTTATATATTTTATTCCACATTAGTTTAAATGTATGTCATGCCGGTGTTTGGTACAGTGTGAATAACTTAGATGAATTTCAAATCGTATATCAGTCGATAATATTGCCCAATTTGTATTTATGGTCCACCGTATAGGTCATCCGAATTAGCATACTCATGAATAATTTCAAGATATAGATATAGGTTCTTAATAACTTGGAGTGAATTTTTGTTTTGCTTATTCTTACTCAGACAGTCTTGGTTAGAAACTGTTAAGATTTTGGGTGGAACCTACTCATCAAGCAATTTCAAAATATAGAAAACAGATACAAACATTTGCTCCTTTGAATGTTTAGTTATTTATAAGGTTGTGATAAGTAGTTATAAGGAAACTGAATATAACAATAATCGGGTTATATAAATTACTGTCACGACCATTTTAATTATACGCATCGGCATAATTCTGTCTGAGTGAATTTCTCCATCTCTATTTTTCAGTTGGCCAGTGACGTTCAAATTTAAATAGCTCACACAACTGTTTTACATTTTACATTGACAGCTACCTTATTATATTACATTCCACGTATGGGGTATATCATTTCAACATCACCCTGTCAGATTCGTACATTTCTTACAAACTCATATAGTTTTCACTAAAATGCACACAATGTAGCATCTCAAAGATTCGCGGGGACACGAAATTCCTAACGTTCAAAACGCCGTAATTAATTTTTATATTTAAATTTGTGGTCTAACCTTCTTTTACTGAGTCACAGCAACCATCATTCGTGTTACATCGCTCTTAAATCAATCTCACAACGTTATCTATCAGGCCTTCCCATCCCGCACAATCTTGCAATAACGCCCCTAATGAATGGACAATTTGGGTTACGTAATAGCGTTGGTCAAAGTTTCTATCTCGACACTATAAATACATTTTATTTTCACGCATGTGCGGCTATCATATTTGAATGTGAATGACTCCATCGTTTGACCCAACTCCCTCTTACGTTTCATGCTGTCGCATTAACGTCAATTTATGCTCCAAAACCTAACTTGTTGACACATATTAGGCAATGTGGTTGATACAAAGCAACGTTGTTATGGTGACTGTAAGATTGGGGGGGGGGGTCCAATTGCCATATTAACAGTGAATATATACCTTCTTCCATACTAAAAATGTAACTAAGGAAATCAAGCGAAAACACGCCTTTTCTGTTTTCAAGTAATTTTTCACCCAATTATTTTCAATCCACGACAATTCAATCATAGTTTTAGATGTTCACACATGTGCTTTTCGATGTGGGGAGTCGATGCGCTCATCTCACGAAATGCTACTATGAAATACAAATTGGTGACATGAAGGCAGTGAATGATTTGTTGTGATCTGTAGTCGAACATCAAAGACGATTATGTTTTTTTAGATTTAACAACATAATAGATTAACAAAAGACTTTCCAACCAAACAAACGACATCCACATACGTCATTTTGATGTCACAGAAGCGTTTAATTATTAAAGTGCGCAATTTATAGAAATTATGTATTTAAGTACAACAATGGCGTTTTTCGCCTGAGAATAAATAGAACAATAGAATGTGTTATTCGCCTTTTGTATTCATTGTTATGATAAATTGGTTCTATTGTTCATTATAAATTAAACATTTGGTAATCCTTACTTGATAATACCGTGGGAAACTGACCCTGCACTGAAGGCAACTGCACTACTAATCTTATTTACATATAAATGCGTCATTGTACTTTCCATAGTTAGTTGAGTTCTACCGCGAGACAGCGTAAGTTAGGTGTAAACACAGTGCAGGGTATAACATTATGGAACTGCATGTATCATTCATAATACTATGTGTTGTTAACATTGGCACTTTTGACATAATAAATGGACAAGGTAAGTTCATTTTGCTGTTTCAGCATACACCGTATTACAGACGTGGCACTATTGGTTATGTATGGAATTGACAACACAATATACTTCTAATGAAGAGCTTTAGTGATTTCTAATTTACACTACGCCTTCCGTGTACGCTTCTAGCTTGGGAATATGAAGATACCATGCTATGATATCGTGTAATATTAATCGTATCGTATTCATAAGTGGTCATATTGATATGTCAATACTATTGATGCATACACGGTGCAAGGAGCTTCCAGTTCATATTCTGTTATTACTAATACATCTATTCAAACTCTACGGTAATTCAATATAGCTAAATGTATCTGAATGTCTATTTTCAAACACTTTCTTGTTCCA